ATCACCATTGATTTGTCTTGTCACGTGATTCTCCTCAGAGAAGATGACATTGGCCAACGCGACTGACTTGACTGGCAAGGATTTTCATGCTTGGTTGGACTGATCGCCTGCCGGCTGCCTCCATCCGATATGGGACTGGGAAAAGAAGGTACTGCAAGGTGAACATAGCCTGTAGCGCATAGCCTAACTAGCGTAACCCTTGGAGTGTGACCACCTCATCTAATGAGGTACGATGAACTTTCCAGGACACCATCTGGCGTACTTCAGCATTACTGGAAACAGAGTGACTCCAAAGATCCTCTCGACTGTGGGGCCACGTTTTTGACCCACAAAGAAAGACAGAGCTGACCGCAGCATTATAAACTCTGCCCCAAACAGTCAAACCGACGTGTTGTCAGCGTCACAACTGTCAGAGGCTTGCGCTAACCTTTCCGATTCTGGTTTGACCCCACGCAATCTTGCGGTAGATGTGAGGCGCATACTAAACTATGAAACATAGTCATTTCTGTTATTGAAAATAGTCGTGGGCTCTTGACGAAGTTTCAGCAACTTCATGAGTAGTGCATTACAAATATACATGTATCGCGATATCTCGAATATCGTAGCGACTGAAACATCACAAACGAGCGATTCAGCTGGGTTCCAAGTGTGTCTCTCGCAAAACCAAATTAGTTTGCAAATGAGTGTATTTCGCAGGTCCACTTTTCCGCAGGGCCTGATCCAAGAAGAGCATTATCCTCGGTATGCTCAATGTCCATGAGCGAACGACCCCGAAGATTCTAAAAGCCTCCTTATAGCATACTCAGGCATATAATGCAATAAAAATACAACAGACTCCTTGCCACATTGCTAATTTGATATTTCTGTGGTGTGTCTACACAATCCTAACCAGACTTGCATTTGTTAGTGATCAATAGCCGGTGACGTTTGGCCTTGAGCTTATGAGTGGCCAAGATGGTGGCTGAAAGCTAAAGTTAAGCAGCGTCCTAATATTTCCCTTAGTCCAGAAAAGGCCATAATCGGGCAGGTTATGGAGATGCAAAGGCATCTATTTTAGTAACGCACTACTCATAAGGTTACTTAAAACTCCTCAACAGCTAACGACCGGTTTCGCCCTTCTTGGGGCTCATCAGGTAGGCGCGCAGTCTCCAAGTTTCCGTCAACCTTATGTTCTACCATCTTAGCACAGAGATGGGCTCCAAAGGTGCCATGCCGCAAAGTAGACAAACGTTAGCACATTTCATTGAAATACGTCTTCTTTCAAAGATGGTGTGAGAAATCGATAATCAGTCCAGTCAGCACTTTGCTGTGAAGTTGGCGGAACAGCATTAAAACGGTGCCACCGATGTGGACGACAAAAGCAGCGCCACGTTCATGATTACTCATCACATAAGTTCACATGAAAATCAGATCAAGTTTTACCGCATTTGGTCACGTGACATTGTAAATTCAAGGAGTAAGGTGGTGGAACTTCCTGTGAACGCGTGCAATGGTTTAGGATATATGTTGGCCAGAAGTGAAGATGTGGTCATGCAAGCATTTAAGTAGTATCCTCTGCACTTCCAAAAAAGAAACAAACTTTGAGACAGGTCTCATAGTGATAAAAGATTCACTGAGAGGTTTTCATCAGACCGAAATAATTAGCAGTTTTTCCGAGTTCCAAAAAATACGATCGACCAACCGGTGTGTTCTGGTCTAGCGTTTACTCTGAGCACTAAATGTTGAGCATCGATTGCATTTTGACGCAACTTATGTTCATCCTTTTTCTCCAATCCTGGGCTTTCCAATTCTTTTGTTAACCAGTCTTTCAATCAATGCAAAAAAGTGCGACGAAACGGTGTTTATCAATTTGAAAATTTTGCGAGACCAAGGTGATAGATTGCTTGTTTTTCAAACCCCTTTCGACTTTGATCTCTGAAGCTCAAGAAGAAACTTCATTTACGGGTTCACGTAGACAAGTCTGGCTAGAGAAAACTCGTAAACATTTGTGCTAAGGTCATTGCTGAGTTTTCTTTTGTTTAACTCTTCTCTGCAAAATAAAAATCACACAAATAATATAAAAGTGATTCGCTTACCCAGAACACGTTTGGTGTCCACTTCGGGAATCGCTTTTGGTCGCTTTATTTACACAAGTGTGTTGTCATCATCAATAGTGGTGGGTGTGACCTTCGTAAGGTCAAACAGTGTCATTTTACAGCGAATCCCGCCGTATAACTGTAAATGCTGTGCTTTTAATCACCTTCCAGAAGCAGTGATACTCGCTTCCCGTGAAGTAGAGTTTGGTAATCCTGGTGTTCTGCGAGAGGAAAACGAATCATACAGATGCTGTCTGCCATACTTTTGGCCTTTTGATGGGTCGATCGATTCAGTCACTTTATCGGGGGCAATTATACGATATCTTTAGGAAGCCATGAAATTAAGGGGATAGGTGATTACCAGAACATACAGACGGGAAAGTAGCAGCCGTCTTTAAGTCATTTGCAGTCACAAATACGCGGAGCGCTTGGTGGTTCCCGTAATTCCGAAGTAGCTGGATCTGCTCAATCATGTATCGGGCCATGACACTACTCAACAATTGGTGTCGACATCCGTACATGTTTCAAAACACTGAAAGTTCGTTTGGCCTGCCGTGCTGACTACACCCAAAGCACATCCAACAGGCGTTGAATATCACACAAAATGGAGGCGCCTAGACAGTCTACAATACACACATGACGTGTTATTTTTCTTCCTGAAGACTCGTTACTTCGGTTCCAAATCGACTCTATATTGGCTAGTCTACAAAAGTTGGCAGGCCACAGTTTTTGTCCGAAACAAAAACTTCAATATCTGATGTGCAAATTAGTCCTAGACCCAACACCACTTGCTCGTAAGAAATGTTCATCTTGATAATATGTGGAAATACTAGTGGTGTAACGGTGATACTACCGACGGGGGAGGCATGTGAGTAGTATTTTTTCTTCTTCTAAATCTGCTTTGCGTCTCTTGAAAAGTGAGATCTATTACGGAATTTGTGGGGTCGCTTTGTAGCATTTGCTTGGATCTGAGCAACAGTCAACGAATATCCAGAAAAGATCAGGAAGACGCGTTCAAAGAGAGGATGGATATTCAGTTTTTGTGAACAAGATGTATATGAGAGTCTTGCTTCCCTGTCCAATAGTCTGTAACTGTTCAGTTGGCATTTCCTAATAAATAACCCCACAGCGAAGGCCTTCTTCCTTTCACTGGTAGCTCGGTTAATCATTCGCTGATCGAGTAGCTGTTGATCTTTTTGGCGAGCATGGAACTGTAGACGTTTGCTTGCACACGTTTCATTACCAAACGCAAAGAAGTCACTGGTGCACAGGACAGAAGGTAATTTCTTCTCACCTGCTTGCGTTAATATAGTTTGTAAAAAAGTATTTTATCATTATAGTTATTATTAGCTGCAAGAACCGCGTGCTTGTCGTACAGTGGTTGTAGCTGCCACAGTTTTGTTCACCGGTGGGAGTTGATATAATTGGTGTGTAAATACAGCACTGTCAGTGGACTGTTAAGTGGGGGTAGGGTTGTGGAGGGACCTATGCATTGAAGACAATAGCTTTGATACACAGCGCCACTGATGGTACGACTGGGCTATATCTGACAGTGTCTCTAATTATTGATGTGGCCCATCTCAGAGTCTCCATCCAGGAAGGCTGACTGGTCGGAGACCGCTTGGCGGTAGTTTTATCATCCCGTTTTCGATTTGCGCCGCTTTATGGCCCAGACCGAGGTAAACGAAAAAAGCATCTAACTGACCAATCAAATGCTACGATGAAGAAGGGAACGGGCAACCAGCCGACTCACTTCGAGAAAAGCAAGCCAATCAGAACACGGGAGGAAAACCGCTAAGACATAAAGTGTTGTGGTAACCAATCTAATCGGAGAAGAAAGGCGTTTCACACAGCACTGCTTGGACGAATCATTCAGAAATGTGATGAAATCTACCAAAACAAAGCAGTTCAACGAACCAATTGAGAAAAAGGCATCCGGAAAATAGCGCAGCACAAATTGTAAACGGGCCGATTAAATCATCCTAAATCCGTTTTTCAACCAGTCAGTCACACCAATAACTTCCTTAATACCGGTGGTGAAATGCCTAGAAAAAAATTTCCGGTCCTGGAAGATATAAACTGCCGTCTAACCTTTAACCGATGTCCACTTTGACTCAACAAAATCGAATATTTCAATAAAGACTGGGTGGGATACAATCAACCCAAATAGTCAGCCATGAAGTCAACTTTGAAGAATTCTCATCGCAATCATCATCATCATCAACGACAGCATGACATCAGTGCTCAACACCAATGCTTCACTGCCGTACAGCCATGACTTATTTGAAAGCCTTATTGTAAAGAAAAGAATAAAGGTGGACGGG